GTGAGTCGGAATGAGATATCGGACTACGAATTGATCGATCGAGACAGAACAAATATCGAGGGCTGACGGAAAGGAAAAGGGTGGAAGGCCGGGAACGAAGAAGAGCGCCGGCGTAAGGTACGAGGGTGTAATTTCCTGAGAAGCGAAGCCAACGAGGTCTCGCGTAATTGGTTCGAGGGGTCGGCCTTTATATCACGCAACCGAACGTCTCTCGAAACGAGAGCGAGACGAGACGAGACGAGACGGGCCGAAAAGCACGTTTCGTCAAATGCGTACGGAATTTCCATGTAAATGCCGCGCGACGTAACGCTTTCACTGCTCTACCTTACCTCGAGAACGATAACAATCCATTCCCTTCCCCTCCGCTCCCCTCTACCCCTCCCGCTAATGAATTATTCATAACTCGCTTCATTCGGATGCTGCATTGTTGAACTGGCGATTTAACAATGTTCCGCGCAACATTTAACGACCCAGTAATTTCGATATTGCAAGTTGCACCGCAATAACGTTCGATACGGGGGACAATTAAATTGCAATTGCACATATAAAGTGGCAGAAATACCGCATTGTTATTTCCATTTGAAAAACCATTTGACAAAGAATCAAACGCCGCGGGAACATTTCGTTCGTAAATTATCCGCGAGAATAATAATCATAAAAAGTTAGCAATGAATTACAATCTTACAAATTTTGATCCACAGATGTAACGATTTCTAGATAATCGATCTATCATCTAACTATCCATTTTTTTTAAAAATATTTGTTAAACCAGCTTCACTAAAAATATACTAAGTGACATGAAGAAAATGATAAATAAGTTTTATAAAAATTCCAACAAAGGATTTTTTTGCGAGACATTTCAATGGACATGGTACAAAATTACGTAGCTCCCGCTGACATATGCAATCGTCCAAATATAGGCGTGGCTATAAAAGGTCGCGCATCGACAACTCGGCCGCCGTCTTCTTTCTCGTTTGCATCGTCCTTTTTATTTTCCAGGCGTAATTACCGTGAGACATCAACGCTCCCTTGGTGCGGCGCAGCCGCTCGGGGTTGTATTTTCAGCAATGTGTCATCCGACACGCGCTTACGCCAGTCGTTTATTTTTGCGACGTATATAGCGCTTGTGGAAGTAAA